GAGCGGACAGCATGGTAGTTTGAGGACAAAGGTCAGCCACAGAACAAATTTAAAAGAGATGAAAGCAGAAAAATATACTGTATAGGTCAGCATTACTGTAACTCAGACAATGGGAGCTGAAGTAGACATAGACTGCGTTCCCTCTAAAGCAGTAGGATGTCAGTACAAAAAATAAGAAAAGGAAAGGATAAAAGGAATTAGGAAAAAAACAACCTGTCAGATATGCTGAGGCAATAACAAGTGGGAGGAAACAACGCCTTGTGTTAGGCTTATATTTGCTAGATATAAAACATGAAAAAGCTGCGCTGCACCTGAGGTGTGCTGCACAGGGTAACTGAAATGAATTTTGGGCTGCCTTGAAGGACATTTAGCAGCTGTTCCCGTTTATCTTTCAGCTTCAGAATGATTTTTAAAGCATTTTTAATATTTTCCTGGGAAGATCAATTCTGGCAACTTTGTCTAAAACGTGCATTTTTACGTCACATGCAGTAAAGGTAAGAAATGAGAGAATGACTTCTGTGTTAAACATTACAGACCTCCAGGGTACCGTGAAAGGAATTCAGGTGGCGCGGGACATTTGGGAAAATGATCGCACAACACCGATGCCTCTCTGTTTATCTAAGCAGCAAGCAATGAAACGCTCAAGATCGCTAACGTCTCCTTCTTATAAAAGCAATGAATCTGGTCTGCAGCTGAGGTATAAAAACCAAAGACGAAACCAAAACAATGCAGTTTCAGCTTGGAAAGATCAAAAGAAGAGTAGTTTTAGGCGTCAACGATACACCATATCACTATTTATCTTTATCGGGCTCCTTCCAACAGCATGTTGCAAAACGCTTTATAGGGATGGTGGAAAGCAAAAGGCAGGCATTAACGTAAGCTTTAAAAGAGATTAAGCTGCGGTTATGTGGCTTTGCTCCTGACTGGAGCTTAGATGTCACAGATGCATTTTTTAGCTCTGTTCGACAGCTCTTGTGGGGTTTCGGGTGTATCGCCCTCTTTTCGCATCACTTCTTTGTCTTGAAAATGGAATTCTGCTTGCTTTTGTGGTGTGTCCCCCCCAACCCTCCCGCCTTATCTCTCTAGTTTATGAGTGATCCAGCCCAGGGACTAGCTGGAAAATGTAAATACTGAGACTCCGATCCATATGCTACACTGTAATCATCATCACTGCAGTAAGAGACTCGGGATTTTTGAGCAGTGGAGGATGAGCAGCTGTGGAACAGGAACATAAACGTACCGCAAATTATGTACAAGACTGAGGGGGGACTGAATGGATTTTGGATCAGGCTTCAAAACTAATTGAGAAATATACTGCTGCTGAGAGTCAGTAACAAGACAGACAACAGCGAGAGACACCGAAACGGATGGAAAAAGCAAACAAACAGTAAACTGGTGGATGAGGAATATAAAGTATGTCATGCAAAGCTGTCGGCTTGGTGCTCTCAGCATTATGCAAGAAGGATGGACTACAAGCAGGAGAAATGTATTACCACAATGGGGCTGAAAAAGTTGTAGAAAATAAGCATATAAAAACTTTATGGGAATTTTCAGTCACTCTTCCTGAAATATAAACCCAAAGAACAGATTTAGCAGCTGTAGAAAAGGAGAAAGAAGAATACTTTCCTGTGAACTTTTCCGTGTAGTGAGAATGTTCAGCTAAATGCAAGAAAAATTCGAAAATCACGATCACTGGCTGCAAATCTTGAGTCCCAGGGTTCACAAACAGCAAAACCATTTACTTGTGGTGCAGTGGGATTTCCTGTCAGGGATATTAAAACCGTACCATGTAACTGGGAACTGATGACTGTGAGTACTTCAACAAGACTCCTTGGCACCTCTAAAACGCTGAGAAAAGTGGCAATGTATCGTGCTTGTTAGTTCTTCATATAGGTTACAACTTCACTGAAAATGCTGCACGTTATTTCTTACGTAAAAATGAATCTAAGAAACTATTTAATGAAGAGGGCATATTTTGAGCCACAGGTTGTGGCTCCCCCCCCAGCCACTGAACGTGCCCGCGTGTGCTCTGATTTGGAAATGGCAGCTAATCGGCGCGGCACTCAGCGCTACGTTTGCTGCTGTCCTCCGCAGCAATGTTAGCGAGCAAGAAAAGAACAAAAGAGAAATCTGTTGGGTTTTGTAGTCAAGGAAATAAAGGTCAAGCAAATTTGTAAGCAGCAGCTTTTTTTGGGTGTGGTGTTTGTGGTTTTTTTTTTTGTAACCTGTCTGTCTGTGCTGCTGACAACTCGGCACCTGGAACAGTCACGCCTGAAGTTTGTGGAAGTTTCCTTTCCTGCTATGGCACAATCCCAAATGTCACAGAAACATTATAAAGCGTACTGATTTTGCAGAAACTTACTGTATTATGCTGCAGTAAATTTCGATTCACTGTAGATTCCCTCTCTGTAGCATCTTTCTTTTCCCATTGAACACCCTTCCTCCCCAAACACACACACATACATATTTTTGCTCACGCCACCCACCTTCCATCCCTGTACAATGAGATAGCACAACCTCCCACCCTCCCAAAAAAAGAGAGACGACTTCTGGTTAGGACGGTGCTCTGCGTGGAAGCCTGCTGTCTGTCACCCCAGGTCACATCTAGCGACACAGCCAGAGAGAAACATCAAAACTGACACTTTCCTTCCAAGCTTCCCAGCCCAAGTACTTTTCCTAAATCTGGTTCGACCTCTTCTTGTCAGCAACAGCCGCCTGACTCCCCAGGCAACCACTTCTCCTGCTGATCTAATTTTTAATCAGTCCTTGGACTCTGTCTGGGTGTCTTGAACTCATAAAGCAATATGGCTTTGCTATTCTTAGAGATTCCTTCGAGCTTGCATTATGGCCCTTGATCCAGCCCCAGACTTTAATTCATTGCGTGTCTGGGGTTTGCAAAGTGCAGTAGAGGATTACAGCGAGCAGAGCAGAGTAGCTGACGTTCACGATGGAGCAGCTAATAATTCCTTAAGTCAGAGGACTTCAGACAAACTATATTATTGAGTCTTAACTAGCACAGATCTAGCCGTCACACTTTTCTGAAAGATCCAATTTCTGACTCTCTAAGCCCACACTTTGCACTCGTGGCTTCCCACTTGGCTTTGTAGCGAACACTCCTCTACCCTGAGTTGTGGGGGTGACTGTGAATGCCTCTGGTACAGTCATGCAGAGCCTTTTGGTTGAGAAGATGCTCTTCCTTAATAGGTTCTTGATTGCTACATGATTTTTCTCCCCATACAATGTGTGAATGTTTCTGTGGACTGAAGTTTCATTTCAACATCTAGGAAATTCTCCAAATAAAATCAGGCCAGAGAATATCAAATGTATACTGTTTCATAAACGTTATTCCACATTTGCCACCAGTGAATTTGGACATATAAATATGATTTTTTGACACACTCATTTGTGAAAAATCCTCCTGAGCATGCCTGTAAGCTTTCCTTTGCATCAAAACATTAGCGGTGCTAATTAAAGACATGCCACAGCTTACCTGGATTCTATAGTACCTGGACCTCCTGTGAAAATGTTAAGCAGAAGGGTTACAGTAGTCTGTCGATCCAGAGAGTTTAAAATGTATCACTGAGGACCAGAAATGATCTGCAAACACTGCTCACTCCGGTTCACAGAGCAGGGCAACCAGTTTGAGATGAACCAGACACTACTGTTTCATTTCAGGGAGCACCTGACAGCTCTGGCTCGGGCATGCGTCCCTCCCTGACTGCATCACGGGATCCGAGTTAACCACAAGAACCTCCAGTCTGACACTGGGAAGGTCGCGCCACCAGCAGAGTCTCCGTTTATGCTCAATAGATTGTTTTACTATTTACCCTTATATTGCAGCTTTTGTACAAATGAATCTCAGTTAAAAACGAGATATATGAAGAATGTGGAAGGAACACCATGTCTGCCTCTGAGGTTAAACATCAGCCTGAAACAGTCCTCTAAATACAAACTTCCCACAATTATGGGACATTTCAAATCCTCTCCCTTTTTCAACTTCTTAATCAAAACCAGTCACATTTTTACGAAATACTTAAGAACCAGTTGAATCAAAAAAGAAATGTGTGAGAATAGTTAACCATCTGGTGGTTAGAGATGGTCTTGAGGCAGGATACCCCAAATAATTATTTACCAAGCAAAATAACATTAGTGTGAGGTGCGGCATCAACACAGGGCACCCATCCTACGACACTTCCAGAGGCCATGGATGTGGACGGTCTAAGAAAAGGTAAGATGGAGTTGCAGACCCACTCTGGCAGTCGAGGAAGCTGTACCAGGCTGGTTGTCTGGCTTTTTCACTGACTTTGTGAATAACGGAGAGATGGCAAGTCCACCATCTTCCCAAGTTTTGTGAATAAAGCCGGTAAATTAAACTGTCTGGCTAACTTGTCCTCATTTAAATCCGTTTTAAGATGACTGAATTGATAGCTACAGCAGAAACTGTTGAAGAAGAAACCTTTCCCAAGCTGATATTGGTGATTCTGATACAGTAAAACCCAGTCCTTTCTCTTTCTCCCGTCCATCTCCATGATTTTTCTCCCATTTTTTGTCACCCCAAACCAAACAGCAGTCATCTTTTTAAAACTTACATCTGTTAAATTCTTCCAAAAGAAAGTTGTTCCTATTTGGCAATTGTTTCTAAAGAGTATTTTTTTCTTCTGTTAAAGGTGATAAGAAAGGACAGGGACCCTAAGGTCAGTATACCCTAATGAGCTCAATCAGGAGGTATGAATGAAATGAGACCCAGTGTGACACAGCCGCTTCCAAAAAAAAAATAAATAAATCTATCACTTGAACAAAACACACTGGGACAATCCAGTATCTTGATTTCAAGTGCTGCTAACGTGCTTTCTATACAAAGACTGGAGAGCATTACGAGTATATTCTTTGTGCTGATAAATACAGGGAATATTTGAAATAAGATAATAAAATCATGGGTGACCTGTCAGAGACCATTGTGACAGCTATTAGTGACTATTTACATTTGCCTCTGAAACAACCTAAATGGACAGAAGGTAAATCACTATATTCTAAATACACTGTCTAGCTATAGGGTTTCCCCTGCCTTCCTGTTTTATTTTGCTGGGGTATAAAAATAATTTGGAGAAACGTGAGAGTCACACAGCTAATACAAACCATTTTGCTGTTCTTGATAACTCCTGTAAAGACAGCCCCGCCGTCCAGTGTCAGGTCACACCGTGTGTTTTGTTCAACAGAATGGCCTCAGCTCTGTTGTTTTAATCGCTGTTGAAACTCAGATTCAGCAAGATGTATGATATTAGTCATGGCTGACATACTGAATTTATTTACTGAGCTTTACACTGTCAGAGTTTGGATGTAGGCTGGAAAGATCCTGAAGCTAAATGTGAATTCTAATTTCAGTTCCAAGCTTTATCCAAATACGCTTGACTCAGTTCATCTATGTAATGAAATTCTATCAAGTCATTGAAAATCTTCGTATGTAGAGGCCATGAAGTAAAGTTCTTACGTATTTGGGGGTACTGGAACACAATAAACTCAATTTTCAAAATGTGACCTGTTAGTCCTTATCAAACTAATGCAAATACCTACTTTACATGTGGAAAAAGTAACAAGACTTTCAACTTGACGTGCAAAAGTCAAGTAACTGATTTGAATACACGTTCCCTCCCAGAGGGTATGAGAATATACCATAGCTGGTTGTACGTAACCTGAGCGCTTGAAAACTCCCCACAGATTTTGTCATTACAATAATTCAAATGCAATTAAAAAATCATCTGATTTTGAAAAGCTGGCCTGTAGATAACAGCTCCAAGCAGCTGAGCTGATCCAGTGGTTCACTGCTACTGGAAGGAGTCCTTCTTCCTATGCCTTTCTCTTTCCATTTCCACCCATTTTCCTGAGCTGACTCCAGGGAAGCCTACCCCCGGAGTTGATTCAACTTGTTGATCTGGGCAGAAAATTATGCCATTTTCTTTTTCTTCTGGATTAGTTCTCTGTTGGTTTATTGAGCCCAACATTGGAGCATGAAGTAAATGCAGCGTCTCAGAGAAGGTAAGTGGAGAAGACTTGATAAAAGGAGCAAGGTAGAACTTCATTCTTTGATGGTGGTAAACTGCCACATTTTCAGAGGGAACCGCACTCAGTGTGATTTTGGTATGGTTTCGGGAGCATGTGTTTATGGCATAAATGTCTGTGAAATTACTGGGACTTCCCAAAGAAAAAAGTAATATTGTACTGAATTAGTTTTAGTTAAAAGACAAAAGACAGTATGTAGGAAAGCATCACGATTGCACGAGTCTTGAACCAAACAAGTAAGGAAGTATGGTACAAGGTGACTTGATGACTTACCTTAAACGAGATTTCATACTGCTCTCCTCCCCATATTTCTAATCCTGGATCATAGCCTCCCAGCTCCCAAAACCACTTCCGATTCACGGCAAACAGACCTCCAGCCATTACAGGAGACCTGAAGGACGAAGAAAACACCACAAACCATTATGGAGATGTTTGGACCGTGCGTGTGTTTGTGTGAATGTTGCGTGAATTGCAAAGCTATGGAAGGCGTAGACAAGGGGTACTGTAAACAAACAACATTTGCCTCTATTCACCCCAAAATGGGCTCTAGGTGAGAAACAGGCAACGCGATAGACACGTAGAGAGAGATAGAGCACGGCAGACAGTCACGCACAAACTCCTGTTTTCAAAACAAACAATTTCTGTTCATTACTAAATAAACGCATGTAACAGAAAAAGAAAGGGACTCTGGAAACCTGCCAAGTATTTAGTGTTTTCTCAGTACTCCGTGGGAAGTAACTCATATTTGAAAGCCAGCAAAAGTTTTCAATTCATTTCTGTCTCATAGGTGCTGGCTAGAGAAAGGCAGAAAGGTGGGAGAGGATGACTACGGAGCAGCTGTGGGGAGTGAAACATCTGCTTTTCTACAGCAGCATTTAAAACTCCTAAACTTTGTCTCACACTGGTAATTTAACTCATAGGCAAACAATGCACGATGTTTCCCACGTTTCTATTCATTCCGTGAATAAACACGTGGAATTTACTTGAATTAACTCAGCCTTTTCCACAGATAATATAGAAAACAAATGGGATATTTAAAGTCAGCATTATAGAATACCCATGAAAAGTGCATTTTAAATTTATAAGCACGAATTTTGTACCAGAAACTAAGTGTTGGTTTTTTTTTTTTTTTTCACTACCAAGAAGACCATGTTTCTAATGCAGTAAATACATTGACGATTTAAAAATGTTGCTCACTGATTCCCTGAAGTCGTGGTGGACGGGGGATACAAAGGGATCTACACTGAACAGGAAGGAGACAACAGGCCGAAGAAAGTCCAACCCAACTGTTCCATCAATTCAATCAATGCAGGGCAATGCTCGCCTTACGAGTTTTAGAGCAAGAGGCTAGAAAGAACACATTCCTGTTGATGCTGCTCAGCAAGAGAAAAGACATATAATGTCAGAGAGGCCTGGATGGCTTCCAGGCAGCGCTTCCGTATCGGAGAACGGACAGGGCACTGGATCCTACGCCGTGTGCTTTGCAACGCTGCAGCCCCTGAGGGAAAATTATCCCAACCAGGGCCATTTTTGTTCCCAATTACCACCGGCGGTTTGGTTGGGGCTATGGAAGCAGGTGGTACCATCCCTGAAGAACTGACTGGAAACGAAAAACTTGTCCCTTTGCCACTGATTTAGGATTTGGCAGTGAACTCAGGACTGGTAGGTATCACAGGAATCCATGCATAAAATAGAAGTTTCTTAAAGAGGACATCAAGTTAATGGAACAACATTCTGCCATATTTTCTCCGTCTTAACGGTTTTTACATTGCTATCTTTTATCCAGTCCAGAGGAGAAGATAAAATGGCAAGCAGACAGCTGAGCAGCCTCTGCCGCCATTAGGATGCCAGCGAATGCCCACACGCATGAATGTCACAAAACGGTCCTCTCATCTGCATTCATGGTAACGCAAAAGATTACGGATATTTTACCTTTCACTTCTATAAATGCTTTTTAAAATATATATATATTTTAGATCATATCTTATATTAGACTACCCATTTTCATGACTAGGGAGCTCTGGTTTTAATAGACTAATTCTATTTTCCTTTAGAGATGATATTTTTCAAAGCACATAGAAGTTTTGTGAAACAAAGCTGCAATATTCTAACTGGCAAGGCTGCTCCCTGTAACATACACTGAATGCTATCACTTTTTTACTCTTATTGACATTTCATACCTCAAATATTGACTATTCTTTCCACATATGACTAAGTTCAATGGAGATTTTATTAGAAACCTTCCCCTGGGGATTCCGACTACTACAACACATTTTCAATTCCTACCGAAGTAAATCTAATTACAACATGCCCTTTGTGACTTCAGGTTCTAAAAAAATCAAAACACAATGTCTTTTTATAAAGATGGACTTGCATGAAGAATGCTTATAACTAAATCGTTAATGGCAGAGAAACGTAGTCCCAGAAATCGCTGGGGAAATGCAGGAGCTCTCCATTTCTCTTAGGTACAGTACCTTTCATGAGCATCTCTCTGGACACAATGAATGGCCTATGAAAAAGGCAATCCCTGCAGGTGAATCAGATGGAAGATGAAAAAGATCAGACTTGCAAATTGCAAAATAATTAGCAGATACTTACAAATGATACTTTATAACTAATCTGTAGATTTTCCAGCGATAATACTCAGTAAAGAACCCCCTTGGTTCTTTAGATGCCAAAAAAGAAGGAAAAAAGAAATGGCGTTTAATGTTGCTCCATTCATTCTTATTCCACAACATGTTCTGACATTTGCTGTTTTGCAGGAAGAGCAATGGAGAGGACAAACAGGACAGCTTTTTGGTTTTCACTGGAGCGGGACGAGCAAGAAGCTGTGTGAACCTGACCGCTTGGCACGGGGTACGTGTTCCACTCCAGGCCACATACAGCTCCTGCT